GTCCCGTGGGATCAGTGTCCCAGGAGGGGCCCCAGAATCCTAGCAGGACAAGGCGGCCGGCCTGCCGGTGGCCGGGACCCGGTGGGACTTGGACTGCCGCCCGCAGGTGCAGGGCGTGAGCCTCCGGTCCCTCTACAAGCGCCCGGCCGGCCAGGTGGCCTTCACCATGGACCCGATCCGCGACCTCCTCATCTGGACCATTGTGCAGAGCCGGCGGGAGCTGGCGGGGATCATCTGGGCCCAGGTAACAGGACGGCTTCCCGGGACCACCGCTATGGGTGGACCGGGGTCCTGGGCAGGGGGCCGCAGCCCACGGCAAGCGGGGCATGCATGGCTGTGGGGGGGGGCAGCAGGGCCTGCGGCTAGGGAGGTCTTGGGGAGCACAGCGCTCAACTCTCAGCAAGGAAAGCACTTGTAATTTTTTGTGCGGGCCCCGGGCTCGAACTCAGGGCTGGGGCGCCGTCCCTGAGCTCGCTCAGGGGGCTCACCCTTCCACCTGAGCGCAGCTCCACTTCCAGCTTTTTGGGTGGTTCATGGGAGATGAGTCTCACGGAGGTTCCTGCCCGGGCTGGCTTCGAATGGTGATCCTCACACCGCAGCCTCCCGAGCAATAGCATGACAGCGCCTGACAGAAAAGCGCTTTTGAAAATGATCTGCCAGCAACTCCCCAAGTTGCTTCCAGGCCCAGGCTCCTGGGCAGCTGAGCCCTGTGCTCCTGTCCATCAGAAAGGCCCCGCAGGCCAGCAGGGGGCAGGGAGGATGGGTGCGGCTTTGGTGGGCCTGGTGGGTCCCCCAGCTGCTCACTGGCCCTCGGTGCTCGCTCCAGAGCCAGGACTGCACTGCGGCCGCGCTGGCGTGCAGCAAGATCCTGAAGGAGCTGTCGAAGGAGGAGGAGGACACGGACAGCTCCGAGGAGATGCTGGCGCTGGCGGAGGAATTTGAACACAGAGCCATCGGTGAGCTCTGCGGGCCCGGCGCGGCCCCCGTGCTCTCTCCTAGGGCTCAGCCGTGCGTCTGGAGCCTGGTGGGCAAGCGTCCTGGGGTCGTTCTTCCTGTGATACCAGCCCCGCTTGCCCGTCTTGCCCCGTGCCCCTCTAGCCCGGGGTGTCCGGGAGGGTCGGCCCTCGTCCCCGGCCGCTCCGGTGTGCATCTTCCCCGTCTTGCCCCGTGCCCCTCTAGCCCGGGGTGTCCGGGAGGGTCAGCCCTCATCCCCGGCCGCTCCGGTGTGCATCCTCCCCCCCTGCCCAGGCGTCTTCACCGAGTGCTACCGGAAGGACGAGGAGAGGGCTCAGAAGCTGCTGGTCCGAGTGTCGGAGGCCTGGGGGAAGACCACCTGCCTGCAGCTGGCCCTGGAGGCCAAGGACATGAAGTTCGTGTCTCAGGGGGGCGTCCAGGTGATGTCCCCGGCCTGCGTCCGCGGCCGGCGCCGGGCCTGTGGCACACCCCGCCAGCGAGGGGGCAATGGGTCCCGTAGCCTGAGGAGGGGCCAGGCAGGGGGCCCGCTTCTGCCCCCAGACGGTGCCTGCCCCGTGCTGGCCACCCAGGCCCGGGACCCGGTTCACTGTAATGGAGGGGTGTGGGACGTGGGGGTGGGGGTGCCCACGGTCCTGAGGCTCCTCTGTCCACAGGCCTTCCTGACCAAGGTGTGGTGGGGTCAGCTGTGTGTGGACAATGGGCTGTGGCGGGTCATCCTGTGCATGCTGGCCTTCCCGCTCCTCTTCACGGGCCTTGTCTCCTTCAGGTGCGGGGCTCTACCGGAGTCCGGGGAAGCAGCCTCTCACGGCGATGGGTTACAGTCAGGCGGGGATCCCAGAACGGCAGACATCGGGGGGGGGGGGGGGAGGAAGGAGCAACCTGGGCATGGGGAGGGCACGGCCGGCGGAGGCTCTGGCCTGCCAGGGAGCAGGTGTCCGGGTGGAGGCAGAGGCCTGCTCCGCGGTGTGGAGCCTGGACTGGATGGAGCCTCTTCCCACCAGAGGCCCGTGGCGGACCACGCTGAACACCCAGGCCTGGCCTGGCCCTGCCTGCAGCCCCTTAGGTGCCTGTGGGGTTTGGTTGAGGGTCAGCCCTGGTTTTCTAGACTGCGTGAAGTCTTGAGTGTCCAGCGGTGTCCGAGCGCTCACCGAGGGGGACGCGGCTGGGCGGGACGCAGGGGGTGGTTGAAGGTCAGGTTTTCTTTCTTTCTTTTTCTTTTTTTTTTTTTTTTTCGGTCAGTCGTGGGGCTTGAACTCTGGGCCTGGGTGCTGTCCCTCAGCTCTTCAGCTCAAGGCTAGCGCTCTACCACTTGAGCCACTTCCGGCTTTTTCTTTTTGCTTATCTGGTGCTGAGGAATTGAACCCAGGGCCTCAGGCATGCAAGGCAAGCGCTCTACCACTGAGCCACCTTCCCAGCCCCTGAAGGTCCGGTTTTCCTGTGGTGCTGCTGTGTGCTCCGGCCTCCCCCTGCAGCTGTGGCGGGTGGACTGGCCGAGGCCGCCTGTGCTGGCCTCTCCTGTAACTGCCATGGGGCGCCCAGGAGCCGGGCAGCGAGCCCCAGCCGTTCACCCCTCCCATGGCGTCTGGCCGGGCGCTGGGAGCCCTCGGGGACCGCGGCCTGCAGACGTCGGGTCCGGCCGGTCACCGTCGTCCCCTCCTCTGTCGCTGCCCCCAGGGAGAAGAGGCTGCAGGCCGTGGGCAGCCCGGCCCGCATCCGCGCCTTCTTCAACGCGCCGGTGGTCATCTTCCACCTGAACACCCTGTCCTACTTCGCCTTCCTCTGCCTCTTTGCCTACGTGCTCATGGTGGACTTCCAGCCCACACCCTCGAGGTGCGAGTGCCTCATCTACGTCTGGCTCTTCTCCCTGGTGTGCGAGGAGGCGCGGCAGGTACCCTCCCCCGCCCCCCTGCCTGCCCCGGCCCTCCGACCCCGGCCCCCCGCCCCCGCCCCGCCTGCCCTGGCCCTCCGACCCTGGCCCTGCCCAGCTCGGTCACCACCGTCAGTGGGTCCTAGGAAGAGCTCCGGCAGGCGGCAGGCCTGGCTCTGCTCCGTGATCTCCGTGGACGTGGAGTCTATGCGGTCCCCTGTCCCCCTCCTCCTCCCTCCCCGAGTCTGTCCCAAGGGAGCTGGAGTGACCAGGGTCCCCTTACCCCCGATGTTGCTCTCAGTAGCTCTTCTATGACCCCGATGAGTGTGGGATCATGAAGATGGCGTCCTTGTACTTCAGCGACTTCTGGAACAAGCTGGACGCCGGGGCCATCCTGCTCTTCATAGCTGGGCTGACCTGCCGGTGAGTGGCTGGTGTGGCCGGGTGGTCGCTGGCCTGGCCTCTCCCTGCGTGGCGTTGTGTCCTGCGAGCTCGGGGCGGTCAGGAGCTGAGGCCTCCCTGGACAAGTGGCCCTCGTCCTGGGCACGTGTGACTGTTCAGGGCAGGCATGGCTCAGCACCTACGTGTAGGGACCCCAGGAGCTCAGCTGTCTCTGCTCCCTCCCTGCTGGCCTGTCCCACTGGGACAGCCTCAAGACTCCCCTCTCACGGGGCCAGGGGGCTGTGGCCTGGCTGCTCCTGCCCAAGCCTGGGCTTCTGGACCTTTCTGAAGACAAGATTGTTCTCCACAGAGATACTCTTTTTTTTTCTTTTTTCTTTTGGTCATGGGGCTGAACTCTGGACCTGGGCGCTGTCCCTCAGCAATTCAGACCAAGGCAAGTGCTCTACCACTTGAGCCACAGCGCCATGTCCAGTTTTCTGGTGGTTTATTGGAGATAGGAGTCTCATGGACTCCTCCTCTCCCCTCCCCCCTGTGAACTCTGGGCCTTGGGCTGGACTAGGCAGTTGCTTTACCATTTGTTGTTTTTGTCAGTAGCGGTGTTTGAGATCAGAGCTTCATATTTATGAAGCAGCAGCTCAACCACTTGGGCCATGCCCCAGCTCCATGGAGATTCTGCCCTTTGACCTCTCACCTTTAGCTTTTGACTCCAGAGCCCTCTGCCCCAGGGGCCAGCCTGGCCGGGCCTGGGCTCTGGGGGCCATGCAGCCTCAGGGCGGCCAGCTGGAGCCCTGTCTCTCCCTGCCCGGCGCCAGGCTCATCCCCGCGACGCTGTACCCGGGGCGCGTCATCCTCTCTCTGGACTTCATCATGTTCTGCCTCCGGCTCATGCACATTTTCACTGTCAGCAAGACGCTGGGGCCCAAGATCATCATTGTGAAGAGGATGGTATGTAGGCCGGCGGTGGGGCGGGGCCGGGCCTGGGCTGGAGGTCGCTGCAGCCCACCCTGACCATGGGCTCCCTGAATGCCCCCCGGCCTGGGTCTCCTCGCACCCCTGCTGCTCAGACCTGGCCACTGCTCAGCCAGAGTCCTTTCCTCCTGAGGTCACAGGGCCTGGCCCCTTCCCGCCCCCTGGGGAGCCCTCCACAAGGGTGCTGACACACTGTCAGGTTACGGGGAGGTCCAGGGGGGCCCTTAGGAGCCCTGGCTTCCCACGTCCACCCCACGGGTCACTGGGCGGGCGCCAGGCGCAGCTTCGTGCCTGACAGAGCCTGCTCCCCACAGATGAAGGACGTCTTCTTCTTCCTCTTCCTCCTGGCCGTGTGGGTGGTGTCCTTCGGGGTGGCCAAGCAGGCCATCCTCATCCACAACGAGAGCCGTGTGGACTGGATCTTCCGAGGGGTTGTGTACCACTCGTACCTCACTATCTTCGGGCAGATCCCGGCCTACATTGATGGTAGGAGCCGAGGTACCAGCGGGGCGGGGAGTCAGGGGAGAGGGGGAGGCCTCCAGGATGTTCACGTGGTCCTGGGCGGGGCAGCTCACAGACGACCTGACCTGGAGAGCTGGGCCTGTGACGGGTCGCAGAGCTGCCGCCTAGCAAAGGCGGGGCTGGAGGATGGCCGGGCGTGGGGTGCAAGGTGTCTGCTGGTGTCTACAGCATCAGATGCCACCTGCTCCGCTCCGGCTCCCGCAGCAGTCAGAGATGACGTCCTTCTCCTCCCGTGGGGAGCGGCTTGCGCAGGTCACGGTTTTTTAAGTCTAAACATCACCCTTGACATGTAATCAACACGTCCAAGTTACCAGCACAGCGCCCCCCTCCCCCCCGCAGAAGTTAACTTTAGAACACCTGCAGCAGAGTCAGGGGGCTCTGCATACGTCGGAGAAGGCAAGGCCAGGCCTTCGTGTCTGCCGCGCGCGCAGGGCTGTGTCTGCTGGAACTTCATCCCTCTGGATGATGAAATCACATCCCTGGTGTGGATGGAGCCCGGGTTGTTTATTCATGAGTCGGTGAACATTTAGATTAGTTCCATTTTTAGCTACTATGAATAATGTTCACCACGCACAAGTCATTTGTAAGTGTTGTGGGGATACGTGCTTGCCTTTGGGGGAACTGCCAAGCTGTCTACACTAGAGGCCCTTCTGTATCTCCTCTAGCAATGCTGGAGAATTCCCAGTTTTTTCACATTCTACAAACACTTGTTATTGTCTACCTTTTAAATTATAGCCATCTGGTGGGTGTAAAGTTGTATTTCATTGTGGGTTTTTTTTTCTTCCAGTCCTGGGGCTTGAACTCAGGGCCTGGGCGCTGTCCCTGGACAGCGCTCCACCACTTGAGCCACGGCACCACTCCTGGCTTTTTCTCTGTATATGGTACTGAGGAATGGAACCCAGGGCTTCATGCAAGCTAGGCGAGCGCTCCACCACTGAGCACTCCACCACCTCCCCAGCCCTTCGTGGTGGTTCTAATTTGCATTCCGCTGGGGCGCTGGGAGTGGAAACCAGCCTTCCAAGGCTCTCCCAGCCTCGGCTCCACCCTCTGCCCCCCTGCAGCGGCTCCTGCTCAGAGACTTTCTGGAGTAGCTTCGGTGGAAAATGTCTAGCCCTGTCTTTCCCCCACCCCCTTCAGTTATTATCATTTATTATTTTGAATTATAATCACTTTCATACTCAGATGTCAGAATGTGATTTGTCAGTATTTTCTGTTATTCCTTGGGGAAAAAAAACTTGCTTTTGAAACAGAAACTTAAAAAATTTTTTTTGCCAGTCCTGGGGCTTTAACTTAGGGGCATGGTGCTGTCCCTGAGCCTCTTTTGCTCAAGGCTAGCCAAAGCTCCACTGCTGGCTTTTTGGGTAGTTTCTTGGAGATAAGAGTCTCGTGGGCTTTCCTGCCCACAATCCTCAGATCTCAGCCTCCCAAATAGCTGGGATTACAGCAAGAGCCTCCAGTGCTTGGCTTTGATTTTTTCCTAAATTAAAACGTTTAAAATTTTTTCTTCTTTATTAAATTTATTCCACAGTCTTTCATTCTTTTGCTTTTAACGCAGCGTTCATTCTTTTTATCACTTTAAACCCTTTTCCACCAAACGGAGCTCCCCAGAATCGAGGTGCCCACGAAGGCCATGATGGGGTGCCTGGACCGGTGCACACGTGTGTGCCAGCCCAGGCGCGTGTGCACAGAGGCTTCGAGCTGGACGCGGCGTGGGCGGCCCGCCGGTCCCGAGTGTGCCAGGGCCCAGGCCCGTGGGGCCCTTGGGTGTGGTGCCGGTGCCCAGGCCCGTGAGGCCCTTGGGTGCGGTGCCGGTGCCCAGCCCCCGCCCATCTCATCCCTCCCATCACTGCACTCCTGCCGTCAGGCGTGAATTTCAACATGGACCAGTGCAGCCCCAATGGCACGGACCCCTACAAGCCCAAGTGTCCGGAGAGCGACGCGGCGCGCCAGGCCCCCGCCTTCCCCCAGTGGCTGACGGTCATCCTGCTCTGCCTCTACCTGCTCTTCGCTAACATCCTGCTGCTCAATCTCCTCATCGCCATGTTCAAGTGAGCCCCAGGCAGCAGCCGGTGGGGGGGAGAGGGGGGCGGGTGGACGGGGCTCACCAGGCCGCACCAGGCCCCCCCTGTTCCTCCCAAGGGCCTCGTGGATGTGTGGGTGAGCCCTGGAGGCCCGTGGATACCCCGGGGAGGTGGAGGGCCAGTTCTCCCTGGCCTCTGCCCCATCTCCTGTTGGCCGGCATGCTGGCCAGTCCGTGGGGTGTTCCTGAGGACCCTCGTGACCTCCTGCTTTGCTGATGCTCTGTGGGGCCTGCACATTTCTGTCTAGGCACTGCGATCATGTGTCGCCTGTGTAGGTAGCATCGCTGTCCTGACAGAGCCGTGTGCCTTGTCCCTTTAAGAAGGGACCAGTTTGAGAAACAGCCAAGTGTCCACACGGCCGGCCGATCTGAAGGACCTGTGGCTGTGGCACAAAGGAATTCTGCAGATGCAATTAAGGGTCCTCAGGGAGGAGAGGCTTACTCCTCAGAGAGGGTGGCTCCTCAGAGAGGCTTGCTCCTCAGAGAGGCTTGCTCCTGAGGGGTGGCTGGGGGGTCCTGAAGTCAGCACAGGGTCGGATGGGAGGTGGCAGGAGGGTGACAGTCAGAGGTGATGCGGGGGATTGGGGTCAGAGGTGATGAGGCCCCTGGTCCTCCACGCCGTGCGTATGGTCCTCCACGCCGTGTGTTGGGGTTGCTTCCTGTGTGGACTGCCCTGCACTCCTGGGGTCCTCCAGCTTCTTAGCCACAGGAGGGGGCTCCTACACACACCCTGATGCCTGCGTTCGGGTGTCCTGGCAGCTACACGTTCCAGGAGGTCCAGGAGCACACAGACCAGATCTGGAAGTTCCAGCGGCACGACCTGATCGAGGAGTACCATGGCCGGCCGCCCGCGCCGCCCCCCTTCATCCTGCTCAACCACCTGCAGCTGCTCATCAAGAGGCTGGTCCTGAAGATCCCGGCCAAGCGCCACAAGCAGCTCAGTGAGCCCCGAGTCCTGGCCGTGGGGGGGCAGCTGATCCCGGAGCCCCTGAGCCCCGAGTCCTGGCTGCAGGGGGGGCAGCTGATCCCGGAGCCCCTGAGCCCCGAGTCCTGGCTGCAGGGGGGGGCAGCTGATCCCGGAGCCCCTGAGCCCCGAGTCCTGGCTGCAGTGGGGGGCAGCTGATCTCGGAGCCTCTGAGCCCTGAGTCCTGGCTGGGGGGGGGCAGCTTGTCCCAGAGCCCCAGCCCCCAGCAGCAGCCGAGCTCATGGTGTCGTGGAGTGCCGCGGACCGGGTTCTGTCGGGACGACGGAGGATACCTAGGGGAGGAACCTGGAATAGGATGGGGAGATGGCAAACAGACAACTCACACACATTAGGAGTGGATGTTGAGTGCTGAGCGCTGAGTGCGATTTAATGCAGAGGATAACAAACTTTTATAGCAAAAAGTCTCCATAAGAAAGGGCAAAAGGTTACATAATCTTGCTGCATGGCTTCATTCTTGGGCGGTCACCAGCTGATTGCCTGAAAGGGCAAAAGGTTACACAACCTTGCTGCAGGGCTTCATTTTTGGGTGGTCAACAGCTGGTAGCCTGAAAGGCACTTGTTTCCGGCTTATCTCTAAGAAATATAATGGGTTTCGATGTTTGTCACCATTTAACCATTATCTTATTTTTATAGAGGCCTTAATTGTCCCATAGGATTTTTCCTTCCTGTTCCTTCTTTAATAATAAGCACCAAGGAGACTTAGATCTAGCAAGTCTCTTAGTAAATGAAAGAGTAATAGGAAGTTCTTTCTCCTAAGTAGTTATCTCAGCAATTGCCATACATTCTTTCTGTTCTAGCCGCGCCTACAGCTTTTTGTAAATCTCTTACAAACAATTCCTTCTGCTGAAGTGACTTTGTGAAACCCCCAATACTTTTATATTTGCTTATGGCTTTTCTACTAGCCTCCATAAGAGGGGGTTCAGGGTAGCACTTAACTCCGGTGAGTTAGTCATATTTTTAAGACACTCATCAGATATTGGAGTCGTCAACACTCTTAAGAAACAGCTTTGTATAGGGAAACGTTGACAATGAGCAAGTACAAAGAGCAGTAGAAACAGTAAAAGATTATATAGAGGAAAAGAAAGGCAGAAACACATCTTTTCCAGGGGTTTTGCCAGCCTTTTCCCAGGAGTAGGCCTCTTAGAATCCCTATTCTCCGAGGTAGACTTCGGTGAAGTCCCAAAACTTGGAGATAGGTTTCTGTAAAGCCTCATTCTCTGAGGTAGACTTCGGTGAAGTCCCAAAACTCAGAGATAGGTCTCGAGGCCCCTATCATGGTCTGATAGATGGTTTCCCATGCTAAGCAGACTCCACTGGGGTCGGCGTGGCAGTGGAGCGTGACCCCTTGGATTGAGTGCGGGGACCATCCCCTCCCTCAGGGGTGGGGCTCGGGGTCTCTGTGGCGCTCAGTCCCCCCACCCCACAGAGAACAAGCTGGAGAAGAATGAGGAGGCAGCCCTGCTCTCGTGGGAGCTGTACCTGAAGGAGAACTACCTGCAGAGCCAGCAGCAGCAGCAGCGCCAGCGGCCGGAGCAGCAGATGCGGGACATCGGCAACAAGTACGGACCGGGCGTCGGGGGGCGGGCACCGGGAGCCGGGCAGCGGGGCCGGGCAATGGGGGGTGGGCACCGGGAGCTGGG